CAAAGTTATTGTTTTTCTGACTAGAACATTTTAACAAACTATTTATTATATTTAAAGTTAAGTTAATGCACCACTGCTATATAAAAAGTATTATATTCAGTTACAAAACCATCATAAAAATACTTAATTATTAGTTACAAATGTAAACAAAAAATTTCGTTGATGTAAACACACATAATTTAAGAGTTCATGTTTTTGTTAAAGTCGTTCAACAAAGAGACGCTGACCGATTTCGACTACACTTCGTTTGTCAGAAGTTTTTCCTTGTAAAATTCCACTCTTTGATTTGATCCCCAAAGAGTTTCTACACTTTGTCGAATTTAGCAGGAGTAATAACATCATCGTTAGAATCCTCCATTTTCGCATACTTTTATGCCTTGAGCTTTTATATAACATGTTCCCGTACACAAATTTAAAATATCTTCAGTGTTATCCTCTGGTCTGACAAAATCCGGGAGTTCGGGAACATGCGAAGCATATGGATATAGTAAACAAGTGTTGCCACATATCATTTCTTACATGGCGAAAACTTTCATGACTTAGATAATTGTAGGCTGGCCAACCGTCGCCCTTTTAGAAGGATTGTCCTCCTCAAACGTGATTTGTCCTGCTCAAAAATTTTGTCCTTCTCTGTCCTCCTTTTGAGCAAAAATGTCCTCCTTGTCATCCATTTCAAGTTTTATAGCAGTGATAAAATTTAAAAAATATTTATAATGAATTGTTTCTATTTAGTTTGGCAATAGGAATAATAAAAGCAGCTTTCCACTCTTGGTGACCCTTGAGATAGAATGGACTAATGGAGTTTAATGACTCTATGTTTGACGGGATATGGAAGATTTTTTTGTTGTATCAAATTTGGTTTCGGTTGGACAGATATATCGCATTAGGTAGAACTAGTTTTGCCTGGGAAAAAATAGTTGGACATAAGACCTGATTTTACCGGTAACATATACATGCATACATACATAGGCACATGTAACTTACCTGCCACAAAAAATGTCAATAAAAACAATTTTCCAGCAAAATTGTGTATATAGAGGATTTTGCTTTTATAACAAAGTGTTATTGCAGATAGTGAAATTTTCAAAATGAGAATATAATACCATTAAAGCTATATTGTAAGTTTGACATTATTGTCATGGCTGAAAGATTAATCGGAGCTCACGTTACCATCAAAAACTCATTTTCATCAAAATTGCAGATTGAGGGTATTGAATATAAGCCCTCGATATATTATAACATGATCAATATAAAGCGTTTGCCTATGGAGATGCCCCGTAATTATATTTTTCGATGTTTCTATGCATAACTGGGGTCGCTATTTTTCGAGAACTACTTGTTGACTATAAATAGTTGTCGTGTCCAAATAGTTGTCTACGCTGAGTAAGAAATGCATCAACCCAAGACCTAAAGTTACGTAATTAATTTAATTTTTCCACTATAATTAAAATGTCTACGAAAAAAAGAAGATGCCACTTAACAGACAACTTATTTAAATGGAGAATTTCCATTCATATTTTTTATACGGAAGAAAATGAACACCCCTGTCAACAAAAAAATTGCCAAAAATCAACGGTAATATTTGTCAATGTTATTGTGGCTTATTAACATTTAATTTTAATATTTTTAGTGAGCTTTGTACCACGATTATTTTATTAGGAAAAATGGAAAAAGCAACAATGTCGGTAGATGTTATAGCAGCTATTTCGTAGATCATCAAATCTCCTCATCAGACTTGTTTTTTCTAGACTTCAGCAAGGATCGAACCCGCGTCATCGATGTACAAAGTCAGAAGCGTTAACCACTGAGCTATGCACACCCCGTAAACGCGTGTTGCTAATTCATTTTCCTTATTCAACCTACTGCTATCAAGTGCAGCTAATTTGCCACTTCTACCGCTTAGACTTTCTTGCTTTTTCCATTTTTCCTAATAAAATAATCGTGGTACACAACTCAATAAAAATATTAAAATTCAACGGTAATATGTTTCAGTCTTATAATTATGCAACACAGTTTACTATTAACTTGTTTGACTTGTGCTTGGGCAACATTGAATTGTTTTTGCTTTTTTTTAACAATGTTAACTTATTCGTTGTTTATGTGTTAAAATAAATATAAAACTAATTGTTTGTGTTTTCAAAATTCTCCGTTCTCCTGGAATGCTAAAAAATTATTGTCACCTGATAATTGGATATGGGCAAAACAGTCAAATATATACAATATGAATAAAGGCACCAAAAATCTGAATACCTTATCGGAAAGCTAAAAATCTGTACGCTGAATCAGTACAACCATTTTGACCACCGCAAATCCGTACGTACGAAAAAAATCCGTACTTCTGGCAGGGCTGCACTGCTCTTTACATTAAACTCAATTACAAGCATTGACCAGTGAGCAATGGACATGATGCGGACACGCCTTTATTGTTCTGTTCTGATATTTTTGTAGATTTTTGTGCCATTAAAAATTATAATAACAATGCAACCTGTGGTTAGTTGCCAAGTAGGTTGGCCTGGCGATTGCCACATAGATTGCTTGCTAAGTTCAGTGCGTCAAGTCCCAGTAGGTGAAGGGCCTTCGCGGGCCGTTTGCAAGGCAAACGCTCTACTACACGAATGCTCAGCGCAGGGTTGCACGAAAAAAAGTTGAATGGCTAAAAATATCAAAATACGAAAAAATATCAAAATATTCGCCATAAAAAGGTGTTTGCATTGTTCAACTTGGCATCCAACTTTTGGTAGAATGGCCTTTCAACTAATTGCTTTCAACAAAGTTAGTCGCCAGCCAACATTTAGCCATTCAACTTTTTTTTCGTGCAACCCTGCATTGAGTTGAACGCAAAGTTGAACAATGCAAACACTGCTTAATAGGTTACAGAATGTTATGCATAAATGATTTGCCAAATTGTTTTAATTTCGCTAGCTCTTTGATGTTCGCATATGACGTTTAACTTATATCTGGTGTACGTAATCTTTCATTTTGTCATAATCTTCAGCTGGATCGGAATGCATTTGCGTATATCTTAATAAAAATTATTGCGAGAAGTCGAGTAATATCATCGTCCTTAACTATAATAGACACAATTCTGTGATATCACGAAGCTCCGAAAATAAAGACTAACTTGAGCTTCCGTTTGCAAAGCACATCAAAATTATTTTGGATGATTTGCTGCGTAATAAACAAATTTAATAATAAATTAATAAAAAAAAATAAAAATAATTTTTTGGGTGGGCAACATATTTAACGGTCTTTAATTTCACAGAAAAAGAAGACATTGGTCGCTTGTTTTGCAAATATTAAGATGTATGAAATTCAATTTTCTTTGTTGCTCAAATCGAAGA